TTCATAAGATCAATCAATTTCATAACGATCAATAATTAAGGACTATCGTTATTGTTATCAACGAGAAAATCGTTCGATCAAAGATAAGAAGAAGAAGAAGAAGAAGAAGAAGAAAAAAAAAAAGAAAAGAAAAGAAAAATGTCAATCATATGAATCATCGTATTATCCCTCAATCGATCGTCAATTTAATTATAAAAAAAAAATATAATCGATCAATCTGTTATGTATGGCCTACTTTATGGCAGATGCCGCTTTCTAAAACGGGAATTCAATGCTTCCCGTGAATCTTGAATACTTTTAACGAAACAACATATCAATGCATTCATATATATACATAAGTGTCATACATAATATTCATACATGTGCAAGCGTGCGTGCGTGCGTGTGTGTGTGTGTGTGTGTGTGTGTGTGTGTATTCACGTAAGTCTTCGTCGCACTACGTATCGAGTACCGTCGAAAACAATTTTTTTTTACGCTAATAAACACGCGATGCTAAAAAGAAACTCCTGAAAGAAATCTAATAGAAAAAAAAAAAAAAAAAAAAGAAAAAGAAAAAAAAAAAAAAGAAAAAGAAAAAGAAAGAGAAGAATGAAAAACACCAAAATGACCTGGTGATATGCGGAAAGAACATACGTGTTTAAAAATAAAAAAAAAAAAAAGAAAAAAAACGAAATACATAGATACGTCAAAATATTTATTAATGATTCACTGATACTTTCTAAATGGCGACAACAACGTAACAAACAAAATGTGTTAAAACCACGGTGTACAAGTCGAATCGTTAGTGCGATTAAATGTTCGTATACACGATTGTAGATTGTATAATGAGGCTTTTCCTTTTCTTTTTTTTTTTTTCCTTTTTACTATCAAAGAAAAAAGGAGAAAAAGAAAATAAATAGGCTAATAAAAAAACAAATAAAAAAAAAAATAAAAAAAAAGAAGAAACAACCAATAAAAAAAGAACAAATAAAACAATTAAAAAGAAAATGAGAGAGAGAGAGAGAGAGTATGTGTGTATGCGTATGTAAACCATACGGTACAGATAAAAAAAAAAAAAAAATTAGAAAATTAAAAAAATATAAAAAAAAAAATAAAAAAAAAATAAAAAAAAAAGAGAGAGAAAAAAAAGATAAAAAAAAAAAGAAAAAAAAAAAGGACGAAACTTTGTGTAACGCGATAACCGTATTCTCGATTTGGTAGAGGAATTTTGAAACGGGTTTTAAATTTCTATCGTTCGTATAAGGGAACACACACATATGCATGCATGGTGATTTTTCTCTCCCTCTCTCTCCCTTCCTCCCTCCCTCCCTTCCTCTCTCTCTCTCTCTCTCTCTCTCTCTCTTATATATATATATATATATATATATATATATATATATATATATATATATATATATATATATACAGGAGGACGAAAAATATGTTAAATTCTTGTCTGACGTTGTCCGGACGTTGAGAACTTAAAAAGTTCTGGTGCAACGAGAAGTAAGATCATATGACAACAACACGTCGTGCATTCGTCCCCTCCAACCCCAGCCGCCCGTGGTCGTTCTTTCCTTATTTCTTTATTTTTAGGGTAGGTGATGGTAGTGGTAGTGAGTGGGGGGAGGAGGAAGACGAGGAGGAGGAGGAGGAGGAGGAGGAGGAATGTCTGGGCGAAAAAGAAAGGGAGAAAGGTAGAAGTGGGTACTAGGTCGTAAATGGAAACTTGGAACTTATCCATGAAGTATCGTCGGAGATATATACATATGTCTTCATGTACTTTTACTCCCTCCCTCTCTCCAACCCATCCATACATTCTCTCTCTCTCTCTCTCTCTCTCTCTCTCTCTCTCTCTCTCTCTCTCTCTCTCTCTCTCTCTCTCTCTCTTTCTTTCTCACGGTTCTTCTTTCTCGCACGCGTTCACATGATATTTCGAAATGACAGAGAGACAAAGAGCCACCGAGTACATGCAAACAATGAGACCTGATATCGCTCAGCTGAATTGCGCTCTCCTTTTTTTTTATCTCTCTCTCTCTCTCTCTCTCTCTCTCTCTCTCTCTGTCTTTCTCTCTCTCTCTCTCTTCCTCTCTCTCTAGCTTGTTAGAAACTCTCTATGTTTTCTTGACGTGTATTAACCAAAATAAAAAAAAAAAAAAAAAAAAACAAATAAATAAATAAAACGTAAGAATAAAATAGAAGTCAATAAAAATGAAGGTAATTCGTTTCATTCATTCATTCATTCATTTATTTATTTTATTTTATTTTGTTTCATTTCACTTTGTATGTCTTCCTTTTAATATAATTTTTTGTATAATAAATTTTTTAATATATTTCAATTAATTAATTGATTAATTAATTTCTTTTAATATAATTTTTTTTTTATAACAAATTTTTTTTTTTTTTCTTTAATCTTAATACATTTTGATTTTATAAATTGCATCCTATTAATTTTTACAAATTAATATATTATTAAAATTCATCGAGACTTATATCGCCAATAATAAAACGTACGATAAGAGATTATAGACAAGGGTGGGTGAGTGGGGGAGGGGATGATAAAAACTTGACGAACGGATAAACTTATGGCATATTAAAAAATTAAATGTAACATAGTACTAGGTCGAGTATGGTAATGAACCCATCCGTGCACGATCTTTTTTACATCCCTCGTGGGGATAATTTCCTTTTTCTTCTTTATCTCTTTCTCTCTCCTTTTCTTTTTTTTTTTTGTTTTTCCTTCCTTTCCTTTTCTTTTTTTTAATTAATCAATTTTGATTAAGAAGAAAAAAAAAAAAGAAAAAAAAAAGGAAAATTATGCGTAAAACGACAACAACAAAGAAACGAAGAAAAGGGAGAAAAAATTCACAGGCGTTTAAAGTTTAAACAATTAATTAACTTTCGACTGGTATGCACGAACTTGTTGAGGTTTATCAAACCGCAAGGACGTACACTCCTGAGAAAAACATTTTCTATAAACTTTTTCTAAATGAAATTTAAAGACAGCGAAGATACAGTATAAAACACAGTATTGAAAGACGTTAAGTTAAACAATCGAGAGACATTCATTTTCACAAAACAAAAAAAAAAAAAAAAAAGAAAAAAAAATCTGGGATTTAAGATCAAATTAATTCAATCTGATCTTATATATATAACGATAATGCCATCTTCTAATTAAATAATACCTTTTTATTGGCTCATTTCTTTTTCATTTTCAATCTAACAACAAAACTATTCTCAATTTGCATTTTATTACGTACAATTTCTTCTACTCTTTCTTCTTCTCTCTTTTACCACCACTACCATCACCACCACCATCACCATCACCATCCACCCCTCCCTCCCACCCTTCCTCCTCCTTCTCATTCTGCGTTTCACAATGAAATCAAATTGACTTCGTGGCTTTGTTATGTTTATTTTAAAGGTGAATCTTAACCAATGATACTACGAACGTCGATATAAAGTTTCGTAGTTTAATGTGTTAAGGAGTTTAAGGTCGTAGACGAAAGGTAAGAAAAATAAGAAAATAAAATAAAATAAAAAAAAAAAAAAAAAAAAAAAAAAATAAAGGAAGACATAACACATTTGCAATTCTTACGTTGTTTGAGAAAGTCATAAAAGGAAAAAAAAAGGAATAAAAATACAAGAAAAAAAAAAAAGAAAAGAAACCCTCCATCTCAAACGAGCGCTACTTTTTTTTTTTTCTTTTTCTCTTTCTCTTTAATTGAAACTCTTATTTAGCGACGCAAATCTTACGTAATAAGATAAAAATAAAAGAAATCGTTTCTAGAATTAGCATAAAATGACGATTCGAGAATACATAATTTTTTTTAAATTAGAAAGAGAGAGAGAGAGAGAGAGAACATCTTAAAAATGCAGAATCATTTAGAATCGTTCGTAATCTTTTTTGATCGATAAACTTTTATTATGTATATAAAACTAAAACGATCGATAAAAAAGCGAGGAAAGAAGAAGAGCAAAAAAAGAAAAAAAAAAAAAGAAAAGAAATAAAGTAGTTTCAAGAATATCAACTTTTAAGAAATCATTTTAAGAAATCAAAAAAAAAAAAAAAAAAAAAAATAAAAAAACGTCAAAATGCAGGCCCGTATATATAATTGTTCGGAGCCCTGGATCTTCAAGGATACATAAATACATACACATGCGAATGAGAAAATAATTTCGCGTAATATAATAATATAGAGAAAGAGAAAAAAGAGAGAGAGAGAGAGAGAGAGAGAGAGAGAGAGAGAGAGAGCGTGTAATAATCTCTGTAAACTCGATTGAGAAAAAAGAAAAAAAAAAAAAAAAGCAAAGAAGAAGAAGAAGAAGTGGAAGAGAAAGAAGAGGAATGAGGAAGTAAGAATAAAAAAAAAGAAAAAAAAAAAGAAAAAAAAAGAAAAAACAGTAAAGAAAAAAAGTAAAGAAAAAAAGAGAAAAGAAAAAGAAAAAGGGGAGAAAAGAGAGGCACCAACAGCACGTGCCATTAGCCTTCTTCTTCGGTTCGCCTCGATCGAATCCGTGTCGCTTTCGCTTGCACGCTCTCTCTCTCTCTCTCTCTCTCTCTCTCTCTCTCTCTCTCTCTCTCTCTTGCTCGGTCGTTAATCAAAGATAGAGAGAGAGAAAGAGAGAAAATATACAAGAGGGGACATACTGAACGAAACCATTCGGAGTTCTCAGATGTAAGATGAGTTTGCGGTATTTGTAAGTGTGTCTTTGGCCGTAGTAAGTTATTGTAACTCTTCCTTTCCACCTCCTTCTTCACCTCCTTCTTCTTCTCCTCCTCCTTCTCCTCCTTCTCTTTTTTCTTCTTCTTGTTCTCACAATCTAAGATGTCTCAAGGAGGAGACGACGTGCGTTCGTTCGTTCGTTTGCTATTTCACGTGGCAGTAACGAGAGTCTTTGAAAAGCGCGAACAGAGAGAGAGAGAGAGAGAGAGAGAGAGAAAGAGAAAAGAGAGAGGAGAAAGAGAAGAGACTACTACTACTACTACTACTACTACTACTACTATAAGACCTCGACGATGCAAAAGCAAAAGTCGGACTTCGTAGTAGTGTAACTCGTATGATCCGTTCCGCTCTACTCTCGAGAGCGTGGAACCAAACGTGGTATCGGCGTCCGCGCGTTACTCGAAAACCGTCAGTTTCCGCGTGGACTCCGTTACGGTGAGAGTCCTATAATACTTATATTACTCTTTACAATTCGTTTATTATAAACCCGTTTTATTATCCATCTTCTTTTCTCTCTCTCTCTCTCTCTCTCTCTCTCTCTCTCTCTCTATCTCTCTCTCTTTTTCTTTTTCTCCTTTCCTCTCTATCGTGCATCTTTTCGTTGTCTTTTTCTTCTCTCTCCCATTTTATTTTTCCTATTATTTTCTCTCTCCCTCTCTCTCTCTCTCTATCTCTCTCTCTCTCTCTCTCTTTGTTTCTTTTTTTTTTTTTTTTATGTACTCGCTCATATCTATGCCCTCCCCCTTCCCTATCTTTATCAAAGAATTAAGCGTCACTCTCGTATAATTTCTTTCTTTCTTTTTTTTTTCTTTTTTTTTTTTTTTTTTTCTATCCACTTGCATTCGTCTAAATAAAGGAAATTCGTTTTAAAATAATTTTTCATTTTTCTTATCTCCTATTATCTTCTTTCTTTTTCCTTTTCTTTTTTTCTTTTTCTTTTTCTTTTTCTTTTTCTTTTTCTCGTTCTTCTCCTCTTCCACCTCTCACATCTCTTACGTTCAATCCATTCTATTCTCGTTCTGCACGTGTCTCCGCCGTGTATACGTTGAAAAACTCTAAGATTTTTCGATATTAAATTCTGCTAAAGCGGAATGAGTTCCTGGAGGATTTGTACATTGCGCCTGGCGCGATTACTACTGATACTTTGCTGTTTATTAGGTGAGTTTATATATCGTTGAATATATTTACATTGACAAGCGACTCAATATTTTTTCTTATTTTCTTTTTTTTTTGTTTCTTTTTTTTCTTTTTTTTTTTTTTTTTTCTTTTTTTTTTCGTTTACGATTTACATGGAAATAATTGAACATTCGTTGAATATAAAGAAATGAAAAATCTCTTATCTCCTTCGAATTAAATAATAACTTTGACGTGCGATCTTTCCAATAATTAATAATAATAATAACAAAAATAACAATAACAATAACAATAATATTAATAATCTTTTATATATATATATATATATATATATATTTGGATATTCGTAGAAAAAAATCTATTATCTCTCGAAGATAATTAATGACTTTGACGTACGATCTTTCCAATAATTAATAACAACGATAACAATAACAATAACAATAACAATAATAATAATAATAATAATAATAATAAAAATAATAATAAAACTAATAATTTTTTCCCTCGAAGAATATAATATATACTATCTTCGTCATTCGAGGGTGTAAAAATGTTCTAAAAAAAAAAAATTTGATTGAAAAAAATCTACCACCACAATTTCCTATTCTTGAGGACCATCGTCGTCCAACGATGTCGACGACGAGGAGAAAGAGGAAGGATGAGAAGAATGAGAGGAGAAAGAATAAGGGAGGTGTGAGGATGATAAGTGGGGTTGGGGGGGGGGGGTGAAGAATGAACAAGAGGGGGAAGAAACACCGCGGGGAAATCAAATGTCCTTCATTTTTATTTGCATAAAATGATGGGGCTAGGCTGGGCTGGATTGGGTTGAATTGGGCTAGGTTGGGGACTGGGCCGGGTCAGAGCCTCCCTCCTTTTCTCTTCAACTCCCCCCTTCTCTCTCTCTCTCTCTCTCTCTCTCTTTCTCTCTCTCTTTCTCTTTTTCTCGAACCCGATCACGTCACGTTCAGATTTTCCGTTTTCGCACGACACCAGAATTCTCTTTCTCTCTCTCTCTCTCTCTCTCTCTCGCTCGCGCGCGCGCGCGCGCTGATTTTCCTCTCGGATTTCATTATGAATCAACTATGACGACTACGCGACGACTACATTCGAGCATTACGTTATTCACGCGAACTCACGAAAACAACGGCGTTCTCGTCTCTCGTCGTTGATGTGTGCCGAACAACATCGTCGAAAAGCCCCAAACGTGCGAATGAATAATAATATCGTTCGGTGTGTTCTTCTTCTCTGTCCTCTCCTCTCCACCCCCCGGCCTCTCTCATCTCGCCAAACCCATCGCCATCACCACCAAACCCCACCGAATCAACCACCTTGCAACTTAATTTTCATCAAAACCACGTTGTTCTCCCACTACAATGACGCTCCCCTAACTCAAACATATTCTTCGAAGATTTCGTATCTATTTTTATTCCTAGTCTCCCCCCCCCCCTCCTAACCCCTCCTTCATCCTTTTCTATTTTCTTTTCTTTTTTTTCCTTCTCCCTTCCTCTCCCCCCCTCTCTCTCTCTCTTTTTCTCTTCTTCTCATTCTCTTTTCCATTTTTCGTTATTATACGATGGAGTAAAGAAAATCGAATAAATTTTATTAACCATTCGATATATATACTATCACTCACATCAAAATCACATTCTCGTTCTCGACC